ATACATATAAAAATATTCAAATCAAATAATACTCTTTTTGACCTTGATTAAAGAACATTTTTTTGACTTAAAAAGCTTTAATAATATAAACGTCTGTTCGGTTTTTAAGCGTTATTAAGCTTTACAAGTCATGTAGAATATGATGACAAAAAATTATTTACCTTGTGGCACACTAACGATTTCTTGATTAGAATCCATTGATTGTCGTATATTCATACTCGATGTACTCGATGATGAAGTTGACGATACAGACGATATTGAATCTCTTTGTAAATTTGATAAATTATAATTATCCATTTCAAAACCATTAAGATAATCATCATAATATATTCCAGTATCTTGATTATCTTCTAATGGTTGTTGATCATATTGAGATTTTTTTTCTTGTTGTTTATAATAATCTTTTAAAGCTTTTTCTTTAATTTTTTTTGGTATTCGTCCCATTTTAACACTTTCCATTGCCATACCTTGTTTAAGACATCGTTTAAATCTACATGCTTTACATCGATTACGTGTTTCTATATTAATTATACATTTATCACCAAAGAAACATCGATATGGTAGACCTTGAGTAATACTTCTTTTGAAGAAACCCTTGAAAAAAAAAATTATATTTTTATTTTTATGAAGCAATGATTTAACAATTTGATATGGCAACTAACTTTACATCCTTCGCATGTGATGACACCATAATGAACTCCAGTAGCAATATCTTGACAAATTCGACTAAAAACATAAATAAGTTCATTGAGTACTCAATTAGTTAGATGAATAGAAATTAGAAAAAAAGAATTTTCAAACAATAAAAATATTAATAATATGTTAGTTTCTTATTTTCTGATTACATAATTATTTTTCTTTTGTTTTAATTTTAAATGAAAATAAATTTAATTTAATAGAAATATTTCTCAAAACAGATTCTATTTTCATTTATAATCATCAATAACTTACCATTTTCCAAATGGAAATGATGTTCCTTTTTTTTCTCGTTTTTTATTAACAATCATCATCATTTGATGATGTTGTATTGAAAGATTTTTATTATGTTGTTCATCGTCGATTTGTTCTTGTTTTGGTTGACAGTAAAACATCGCTAAGTCATTTTCAAATGTTTGTAACGATGAAAAATTATTCGAAACATCAACTGCTATTTCCATATTATTGATTTTATATACACAATATGTTTCTGAAAAACGAAAATACTCAGATTATAATAGCGTACCAAAATAAGTACTCGATGTGCTATGCATTGTTGCAAAGAATCATTTACTGAAAAAAACATGTCGTTGTTCTCTTGCGCTTTTTTTATGTAACCAACAACCAGAAGAGACCCTAGTCAGTTACGAACAGAACATAGAAAACTGGAACAAGGAAAAAAAAGGGTAAAAAAACATAATCGCGAACTACTAAAACCATGCTACTACATTTTTTTTTCTTACATTTACTTTCTACTCAATATTTCTTTTCGAGCATGTCATAAAAGTGGTTGACGTCACGCATGCATCTTTCATACCTAACAAAGAAGCTTGAAATAAACTAATAGCTCATAATTAGAAGAAAAGAACACGTTCATCTATCGAATTGCGTAGTTAAAATTTTTTTCAAAATAACAATTGCATTAATCTAATGATTGATTAATAATAAAAATACCCACACGATATTAAAATTCAATATATTAAACATAAATTTTGTTTTTTTTTAAGCATTCTTATTAACATAATAAAAAATTAGAATTTTAAAAGAGTACATGATGCTTTAATTCAAAATATCAATAACTCAACGAAATATAACTACCAAATATATTTTAAAAATAAATAGAGTAGTAGTTATCTTTACTATATTAGTTTTTTTTTTCTATTTTATTTGAATATTAAATTACACTACCAGTTAAGATATGAGATTAATTAAAGTTCTTATTTTTAGTTCTTATTCATTAAATTGAATAGGTTCTTTTAATAACCATATATATATATAATGAAAAGATGTTTTTGATAAAGGGCAAAGAATATTAGTCCATCAAAAAATAAACCAATGAATATTTTTCATTGATATTATTCAGTAAACTATATAGCGGATTTCTTTTAAATGCCTCAAAATAATTATAGTATTTTTCTTTTCTTATTATATTTTAAACGTAATGTCATATCTTAAGTGTTTACATTTTGCCTACTTCTAAGAATGTTATTATTTCTTCTAAAGAAAACAATTCTTGATAGTTCTGCAACAACTTATAATTAATTTCTTTTTGATAAGATAAATTCTTTCTATATAAATATGTCATTTCATTTGATGACCATGTCAAATCTATTATTTGAGGAATTAATTTTACTCTTACACTCTATAGTTATAATTAATCTTATTAAATCCTATTTGAATTCAATGTATACAGCGGATATAGAAAATTCTTAGTTTTTCTTCTATAGAATCATCAAGTATCTTATAAGAAATAATATGTCACTGAGACATTCTGTTAAAAACAAATTCTTGACAAGATTCAGAATAATTAATTTAGTCGGTTCGGCATTATGATAAAGTCATACAAAATTTGTAAAAGTTATTTGATCAAAAGGCAAGAAAATTTTTTTCGAATTTTTTCTTCAACTCCATTTTCAAATATGTGTATTTCAATATTTTTCAAATATTCTCTGTCGAATGTGTCAATTATACTTAGTAAAAATTTTTTCATAATTAATAATACTGTCAAACTACTTTACGATTAATTATCAAAAATATAGGCACTTACTACTGACGACATGGATCAACCATATATCGATATCATTAGATTATCCTAAACGGAAAACAAATAATATTAATAGAAAAAAAACAACAACATTTCGCTAAAAACAACTGTAATTCATGCACTACGTACATAAAGAATTGTGTATCGATAAAAGAAATTCCACTACTACTTATTAATGAAACAACAATGACGAGTCGATTAAACTCGCACAATGATTCTTTACTAATGCAATAAAAAGAAATTTAAAAGATTAGATAAGCATTTAACCAGAAAACTCATTCGTGCTTTTAAATTCTCGTCAAAATAGAGAAGCATATCATTGCAATATAAATTCACAATTAGTGATTATTATCCATGAACAATTTATTATACTTTTTAATCCAATACAAAAATATCGATTATCAATGTTTTCATTCTAACTCAATACCCACACAGTGCAACGCCTACAATTAATGATCTTATGACTGTATGTATAGTTAATTAAAAGATTCTGAATAGGTTTGACAGCTTAAAACCAGAGGGTAGCCGAATAAATGCGGTCTTTTATTGATGCGTGGTGCAATAGTTTGCATTAATTTTCTTTTTAATATAATATGACAAGAACTGGTCGCGGCAGCTTTATAATTTTCTTGTCATAACGAACAAAGTTGTGTAAAAATATTTCATTCAAAATACTTACCGAAGGTTGAAAAGTTTTAAGAATATGTTTAACTGAAGAAGTTCTTTGGATATTTCTAGAGTTTAAGAGAAAACCTTCATTTACTAAGAAAATTTGTCCTATTTTCTGTGTTTTTTAAAGTACTATGTATGATGAAGCATTGTAAATAGACAAAAATAATATTTTTCAGTTATCATTTGAGTTCGAAATTGATATTTTTCTAATAGTCTTTGCTAGCTAAAAGTATTTACAATTAATAAATGATGTCGAAAAGTAAGATTTTTTCGATAATCAAACTTTACAAAACTCCTTGTTTTATGTTCAATTAGAGTTTATTTAGCCCTCTACAAAAGCGCATTATTTTTGGACATGATGAGGTAAACTTTATTGGTCATTGTCGAGGGTAATTCGATTTTTTTTTATAAAACTGTTTGCTTTGGAGCCTGTTGTTTTGTGATTTGAATAGCTTAATACCGGTAGAAAGCCAGCTTCATATTTCATGGACAGATCAAAATTTTTGAAAAGTCGTGTAAATATACGAAAACATTGGATATTTTCGGATGCCAATCGTAGTTCCCAACGGTCAGCGAAACACGGTCGAAAACAAAAGGCATGAAAACGATCAGTTTTCCGACATCCAACCTTTTTATACGGTATTTTTATGAATATTTTACCAGACACACGTTTTCTGAAATTTTTGTCTGTCTGAATGGTCACACACACATCCACCGTACCTAAGAATTTAGAAAGCTAAGTGCAAGACAAATCGATCAGTTATACAGCTTTGTAATAGCGACAAGCAAAAAACCTACCAAGTATCCATAATGAGTTAATTGTCACACTATACTGAAATCAAAATCAATGGAAAACTCTTGCATCACTCCTTAGAAATAGGATAATCTTTCGAAAAATTTTCATTATAGTATAGTGCAGCAATCCGTATTATATAAATCAACGAAAATAAAGAGTTTAGAACGGTGATACTCTAAAAAAAACTGACACTCAGAATACTCTACTTTAGTAGAATGGCAATATGAAAGGTTTTGCAAGGTTTCTATCTTTGGGTATTCGTATTATTTTTATTTTCGACTAAAGTTGAGAGAATTCTGATTTCATCATGTGTTGTATTAAGTCACAAATTTCAGGATAACATGTCTCGTGGTGTACGTCGATCGGCTAAGGCGCCGCCAATCAATACATTGGCTTATACCTGTATATATCTTTACATATATCATTGTTAATAAAATTCTATATGAATTCTTTGTAAGGTCAAAGATGTTTTTCAAATACTTCTCATTTTATTTCTTAACAGATTGAAAAAAAACAATAAAATTCTAATATTTTTTTGTTATCAAATGAAAAGCTTCATAGAACAAAAAGTTATATATTGAAAAAAATTTTATTCAACAATCATTTTAAAATCATACAATACACATTCGATATATATATAAAAACTGCATTTATTCGATATCAATCAATGAATTCTTTTTCAATAATTTTGATTGCTTTATAATCAAAATATTAAAAAGAAAACGTTATGTGAATATGATAATTACAATTAAAAACAGAATTAAAAAGAACAGGTGAATTCAGTCGATAATACTATGATTCATCTTTGCTCTAAAAAAATAAAATATAAAATAAAATAAATAAATTTAATTGATTAACTTACAAGAGAAATCATTAATGGTCTTGCTGTTGATGTTGGCCTTCTTGTACTACTGTTCGTTGTTAAAATAGAATCACTTGCACTAACCATACTTGCAGTTGAATCAAATGAAGCTGTTTGTCGACTTGAATTTGAATGTCTTAAAATTGCTTTTGCTGTTGATGATGATGTCATTGTTGTTGTGGGATCTTTTGCAACATTTCGTAATAGATCCGGAATATCAATTGTTTTTGATTTATTTATTGAAGAAAGTGTTGAAGTACATTGTTGTTCATCAGTTGGAACATCTAAATGACTAGTTCCTTTTTTACTTTGTTCATCTTGACTGGCTTCTAGTGAAGGTACATTTGATGTATTAGCATCCATTGTAACTCGTTTAGGTTTTGGTGGTCGATCCGATGGTGTTGCTTCAAATTTATGTATAAGATCTTTTAAACCAGATGTACGCCTCACTAATGTTGAACCTGTTGGTGGTTCCGTAGTTGGAGTTATATTAACAGGTTTACGAGATGTACCATTTGATGAAGATGATTTTGGTGTAGTTTTTCTTAATTCAACTAGTCGACCTCGTTGTTTCGTTTGAGCAGATGTAGGAGCAGCTGGTGGTACTTTTGTACGACTCTCTTTTGATAGACCTGTTGGTGGTAATGGAATAGATGGTGCTGGTGAAGATGGTACTTGTATAGATTGTGGAGGCGGTGTTGGTTCTTGTTCGGGAATAACAGCATCTTTTGAACGAAAACGAAATGGTGAACGATGTCTTAATGCTTTCAATATGCCTTTTGATGGTCGATTTCCATGTTGATCTGATTTTCTTGCTGTTCGTTCTTTAGTTTCTAAATCAATATCTTCATCAAGAAAATGAACAGATGCTGGTTGTGTTGCTGTTTCTTTATCTGGTGATTGTACACGAAAACGAAAACGACGACTTAATGAAAAAAATCGATTTTTTGATGAACCCATTCCACTTCCATTTGTTGTTGCTGTTACTGAATTTGACATTACATCAGATATCATACCATCATCTATCGATGATGTTAATAATGGTAAATGTTCATGACTACTATTTGTATTAGCATCATAGCGAGATCGACGTTGATTTGTAGTTGAAGATGTCGGAAGATTATTTTCCGGTGGAGCTGAAGCTAATCGTTTATAAGCTGTTGAAGCATTGGAAGAGTTTACTATATTTGTAAAACTATCATCACGAACAAGGGATGCACTTTTTTCAGATTTTCTGTAACGAAAAAAAGAACACAAAAATAAATGATACAAAATTATAAATAAATCTAATAATATCATTTAGCAAAGAAATAACAAGTCTAATATGGCATTTTCTGCTTACCGAAACGATGTACTCCGTAATTTTTGTTGTAGATTCGATATCCACATGTTGATTTAAGAGAAAATTTTTCTACTTCTTATAAATACAAACAATGTTATAATATGTCTGAAAACTATAGATCTTCTATCTTTGTGAATATATATAAAGAAGAATGTTTTTTTTCTCCGGATACATACGGTGAGATCGAACAGGAAGATCTCTATTACTATATGTTTTCTTCTGCTTCTTCTTTTTTTTTGCTTCTAGAGTGCTACATAACATTCGTATGTTAGTTAACGCCGACAACAATAACAACAAAATTCAGTGACAAACATATCCCAAGAGAGAGAGAGAGAGAGAGAGAGAGAGAGAGAGAGAGAGAGAATAGAACGAACAGTAATTATCACCGATCATATCATACATCATTCAATCAATAAAGACGATCGTGTCACTCACGTTTTTTCCTTCATCTTACACTGATAAAATGTCACAAGGAGAAACAATTTTTCTGTATTCTTATTTTTGCCTGAATTAATATTAAAAAGGAAATGAAGCATTATTTGATTCATACTTACGCTCGAATAAAATCCATAAAACGTCGATATGAAAATAGATGATCTTCAACACGATCAATCTTACTTGCAATCTAGCAGAAAAAAAAACACAAAAGAATTCAAGTCAATTATAACATGTTTTATTTTATAAATTAATATTAACCTCCTCAATGCTAACTGCTGTATTTTCTTGTGCTGAATAAGTTTTATCAAACATTCGTTGTTTATCATTATCATTTATTGATACTTGTAATACAATTGAGTCATCCATTTGACCGACAATTTCATTAGCACTAGCAACTCCTCCATCGATTGTTCCATGTGGAAGTTCAATATCATCAGCTAATGTTTCACGACTAAAATTTGATAAACTTGTTTTTGTTGTTGCTTCATTTTGAAAACTATTTATTGATAATGGACCAACACTGATATCACGAACAAGACGATTGTTATTTTCACCACCAGATTTAATCTATCAATAAAAAATTTTAACAAAAAAAAATTCTCATTTTATTCAATCGATGACGCCAAGGAAAAAGTTTCGGAGGAATTCTTTTTTTTTTGAGAAAAAAAAAAATAACTAGAAGCACAATATGGATAAAAAATTAGACTCAAGAGAAATCATCTCAATGGTCAACGTTTTTTTAATATGTTATACTATATTCTTTTGTTTCGATAGTGGCAGCTCAATCGATCGGTTTACACTTCTTTACATGTATGACTAAAACAAAACAAAGAATTTCTCAAACACACGACACTCTAAAAATGTCTTTTTGTTTTGAATAATAACTAGAAGATTTTAGTAATCTAAAAAAATTATTATTATCTTCTACTATATTTCAAACATGGAAATAGTAGTAGTATCATCAAAGGTTAATCTACAATATGACACCAGTAGATGACCTTCTAATATTACTCAAGTCGTAAAAATATGCGTTTTAATTAGCTCAGTGCATTTCTGTATCATTTCAATGATAATTTCTTTATAAGAATCAGATTGTCAAAAAAAAACTACAAAAGTATTATCTTCGTACAAACACATACTGAACTAAAACCATTTCCTTCAATTATAATAAAATTTCCAAAACAAAAAAGTGTAAACTTACTTCCATTGCTGCAGTAGTATAAAATCTTTTATATCACTACATTATCATTACGCTTTCTACTTCGAGAGTTTTACTAAGAAATGAATTTTGTGCTCTTTATTATTTAAGATTACTAAATTACGTTAATAGACTACTTTGTTTTTCCTTAACACGATAATTTGAATGCATGAACTTTTTTTTTCCATATTGTAATTAACTATCATTTTGACTTAATGAATGATTTCTAGAAAGAAGAGACAAGTTTTTCTCTCCTTTAAAGTTCTTAGAAAATGTGTCATTATTTTTAGCAAATGTTAATGCATGCAAGCAGTAGAATATCTAAAGAATATATATTTAAAGTTCCGATACACATTTCTATGCAGAATTTCTCAGGCAAAGAAAACTCAAAACTCATCTATGCCAGATCACGAAAAGAAGCTTAACAACAAAGTTCCTTTATAATTTCAACCAATTAGCGCAAATCCAGATAGTGATTTCAATAGCTAATGAAGTTTTCTATCTCATGCATGCAATAGTAAGATTTTCTAGATGAACTACAAGAATGGAAAGTGTTAGAGAGCTACGTTCTTGATCATTCAAGAGAGACGACCCAAAACATTCAAGTATATTGGAATCCGGTTGGTCAGAAATCGATCGATCAGTTGAGTTTTTAGTGGAGATTTTACCAAGCAATATTCTGAAGTTATTTCTCTCTTAATTTAGACGTTTCATAATACTATTCGATAGAAAAATTTCTTCGCTTTCAATCAATGCATGGCCAACATATTTCTAACTTGTTCAATTCGAGAGTAATCAGGCTTTTCCAGAGATCGCCGGTATCAGCTAATTGATCTGTGATCATTCGCAAAAGCAGCTAGACAATGGTATTTCATCATATCCAGTCGAATGGTGGTATTTATTTTTTTTAGGTTCGAAATGATCCGAGACTATTATCTCAATGTTTCTGAAATTTCACAACCAGCCTCTAGGTTAGAAAGCAATCGACATTTCGAACCTAAAAACAAAGACTACCTTTAGAATCAACATGGTGAATTACTACTGTCTAGCTGTTTTTCCGAGTCATCAGAAGTCAATCCACTGAAATCGAAGGACTCAAGAAAAGTCGTATAACACTCGTACACAACAAGCTAGTCATGTTGGCCTTGTTTACATTGAAAGAGAAGAACTTTTTCTATCGCTCAGTCACATTACAAGTCTAAACCAAAAGAAAAACAGTTTCAGAATATCGTTTTCGAAAATTTCCATTATAGAACACATCCGATCGATCAATTGCTCTGCAATCAAATTTCGATGATTTCGAAAATTATCTTTTGAACGGTAAAAAACAAAGTTCTCTAGCTTTTTCCTTCTTGAGTTATTGAAAAAAATACCCATCGCCATTATACTTTGGAACAGATGATAGTACAACCGGTTTTAATGCATCAATAACATCAAAGTGCATCGAAATCACTCAGTTTTGTTAGTTTGAATAGACTTGAAAAATACTCACCCGCTTTAATACAATATAATACTTTCAAAAAACTCTCCGTTCTTTAATTACCTGTTTTTGTAATCGATCGAATTTGTATAAAATTGATTCTTTAATATTATGTTGTTGTCTTAATTGTGCATATAAATCACTTTGCTGTTTTCTCCAATAATTCCAATCGGATGAATTTTTATCACGTAAACGTTGCATTTCAGTTTTAAGTAATTTAACATCATCAACAACAATTTCAAGTTCTTTAATTTTACTTAATAATAATTCATTTTCTGTCATTAGAACATTAATTTTTTCTGTTAAATGTATTGGTACTTCTCGATTTGTTATTTGTTTTTGTAAATCTTTTGTTAATTGTTGTGATTGTTGAAGTTGTTTTTGTAAATCATTTCGTTCTTTTTTCCATGCTGTATCAAGATCTTTTCGTTGACGTTTTGTTACTTTAGATAATTGTTCTTCTAACTAAAACACAACAAAAATGGAAATTTTGTTATTTTAAATATTTACTTCTTTTCTTTTTCTTACTTCATTTATTTTTCCAGTTAATTCAATTCGTTGTGTTTCCCATTGTTGTTTATCAATATTATATTTATTTTGTTTTTCTTGACCATGAAGTTCAAGATCATGTAATTTTTGACGAAGACGATCAACAGCATTTTGTAATTCAGATTTCATTTTAATACTATCATCATACTAAAAAAAAAAGAAAGATTAAAATATTTGAATAAAATAAAATAATTATTTTTTACTTTGCGTTGTTTTTCAGACATATCTGTTTTAATACGTATCCATGATTGTTCATCAGCATCATATTTTATTTGTAATTCTTTATATTTCTTTTCAAGATCTTTGTTTATTTTTAATAATTCATCTTTTTCATTATTTGATTGATTTATTCGAAGTTTATAGGATTCAATTTCACCATCCATTATTTGTTGACGACATTCAGCTTTTATACGAGATATTTCGTCTTCTATTGCTGTTGATTTTGGTCGATCCTAAAAAAATATAAATTAGAGATTTTTCAGATAGAATATGAATATTAATTAGTTTTCAATAGATCTATGAATTTAGATATAGATTTATTTTATAATACTAAGAACAGATAGAAATTGAAGTAGATCTTGTCAGTTACTCATATTATACTTTTTTGACTGATAATTCAATTTTCAAATTTTATTTTTACAGATAATTTAAGCTTTTATTATTGTAGGCTCAATATATGTCAAAATTAATTTTGTATATTTCAAAATAATCATCTTCATAGTTTTCCATTCATATGAATACACGAATAATGTTATAAATTTAACATTAAAATACATGAAAGTAGATTTACTATTCAAACAAAAAAACTAAACCTATTAAAAATAAAATAATACGCTTATTCTCAGTAGAAAAAAGAAATTGAATGATGGTAAAATACAAATATGACAAATCTAGTATGTTTCTTTGAGTAGAGAATTAACAGTATTATGGGGAACACATATAAATCAGCTATGTTTCAATCTGACTCCAGAATCATTTCAACCTTCTTGAGGAGTCAAAAAATTTTTTTTAAATTTATAACTTTCATGAATTTTATATCAATAACATAAGAAAATGGCATTTCTGATGATGAAGCGAAGAAAAAAAAATGATATTTTTCAAATTCATTGATGAAAAATGACATTTTAATTAAGCAAATGCAGTAAATTTTAATCTTAATCAAAATTGTGCAATGAAATTAAGGAGAATGTTTATTGTAATCGATGAATTTCAATTACATCAATTTTTGTTTGTTTCATCATATTAATGCCTCTTTTAAAAATTTTTTAATTCTCTTTTTGACAGATTCTATTTATAAGCTAAATTGTTCATTTAATAATGTATAAGTACGACTTACATTTTGTTGATTTAATCGTAAAGATTCAAGATCAAATTTTAACATTTCTTTTTCAACATTTAATTTTTCCATTTCTTTAGTCATTGAAATAATTTGTTCTTCTAATTGTTTTCCTAATGTATAATACTTTGTTTCAAGTTCACGTAATTCTAATCGATGTTTTTGACATTCTTTTACTTTAGTTTCAATAATATCTTCTTTTTCAATAATTTTCATTGATAATTCATTGACACGTGTTTGTTTTTGATCAAGTTTTTTTTCAAATGTTATTATTGATTGACGTAATTGTTCAATATGTCGTAAATCTTGTAATTGTTTAGCATTTAATGCTGATAAGCGTGCATTTTCTTTTTGTAGTTCATTATTAATTGTTTTTTGCTTTTCAAGATTTTTCTCCAATGTTTGATTTGTTTTTAATTGATTTTGCATTTGTTCGTCAAATGTTTTCGATGACATTTGAAGATTATCAATAGTTACTTCTAATTGATGACATTGCTGTTGTTTTTCTTCTAATTCATGTTTGGTTGTATCAAGTTCTTCTAATAATGTACATGTATCATTTGCATCATATGTTAAATTTGTTAAACGATAACGAATTTTATCGAGAATTTCATGTTTATTTTGTAAAAGAGTTAAAAATTCATTTGCTTGTTGAAAAATTTCTGACGTTTGTTGATTTGTTTTGATAATTGTTGATTGTGTTTGATCATCCTAAAGGAATATAATCAACAATCTGTTTGAAAGATTTTTATGGTACGTATAGATACAGGATAATTCTTTTAAGATATTTACAACACGTACTTCTAAATCTTTAGTCATAAGCAAGGAGAATAAAGAAATATTTAAAAGAACTTTTTTTTGGAAAATTATCAGATATAGATCATTGTTCTATTATGATTAAGGCGACCAACTGGCAAATTAATAGACATATCTATAGCTAATGACATGTTCGCAACGATGAAGTTGAATGGTTATCTACATATCAAACAGTCACAACACAAGGTCAATTTTTATGATGCCGCTTCCTAGACAGAGTACAAATCGTCTCACCTGAGCTTTTCGAACATTATATTCTAACAAAATCAATGCCTGTGATCTTGCAAATGTACATGGAACATAATCATTTTTATTTGATGTTCTCTGTTTTGTGATTACAGCCCGTCGGGTCCAAAAATTTTGGATCCAGACTCGACGGGCTCTACTTGTGATCGAGCAAACAATTCTTTCTTACAATGAATCTAGTTCGACACAAAAGAATAATGTAAATGCTCTTTAGATCATCTAAATAATTTTCTCTCAGAAGAACTTATTCTATAAGATTCATTCCTATATAACTCGACATTAATTCATGTGACCTATATGTGCCGAAACAGATCGGAAATTGAAACTAAGACTTTAATTTCCTGTAGTCACACTAATATTTCACATAATAAAGTACTAGCACATACATACCGTTATTCTATCATATGAAGTTATTTCTCCTTTATTTCTACACTCTAATAATAACTCGGTATTGTGAAAAATATAAAAGAAAGATTACCCGAAAGGTTTCCGAGATTATTTTAGAAGGCCTTTAAGAGCTGTTTCAAGTTGCAAAAAGGTTTCCGAAACTTCCGACACTCTTAATGGTTTCCGAAATGTTACTATATCAAATGTTTTAAGGGTTTCCTATAAAAGGAGAGTGTTTTTTAGAATTTGTAAATCGATTTTATTTGTATTTTATGTTTTTATGATATAAATAGAATTTTTTGATTCATCGATCTGTTTACTCGTTAAGGACTAATGTTTTTTTTATTCGATACATATGGATAATCAATTGTATTCTGTTAAAAGATATAGCAGTATACAATAATATCAATCAACTATTATTGATCTGGTAATATAGTTAAGCAGATTTCCAAGAATATCTTGATCATCGACGACCTATATATAGATATGCACTGAAGCCGTTTGGATCATTTTTTGTCTAAATGGAGAAAAATGTCCCTGTTGACTGAACTAGGAAAATGTTACTAAAGTATATCAAAAGAGCGATTCCGAAAACTGTGTTAGACTACGTGCTAGAGCTAACGAAAAACAGATGAAACCTAAACTCATTGAGTTTAGAATGTTATTCAGTTTCTTTTCAATTTCTTACTAAATCAAACGGTTCATAACATCATTCTTCGTTTGAATGTCAAAGACAGACATCCTTCTATATTAGAAGCGCAACAGCTTATTGATATAGTTCATAATCAATGAGATAAGTTTGAAATATTCAAAATTTGCCATTAGATTTGAATGCATGTCTATCTACATCATGCTTCAGTGGACGCAATTTTCTGGGGTTTCTGAAGAATGGCTCATGATAAATATTGAAAACTTTCACGGTAGATAGATCTCGATCAGTAGAGAACAAACTATCGTAAGTTGTAAGTTCTCAATACTTCCTTCTAGGAAATATCTAGATGGCAAAGGTTAAAAATGGCCTCATTTTCTCATCCGCAATATATCTGATAGAGCTAGAATTCTGTTTGGAGTGTCCCATTTTCTTGGTTGCCCCTTTATCTACTTTCATTCGAATAAAAAGATCAAAATACTGACCATATCTCCAAAAATACATGTTTTTTTTTTCATATAAAAATTGATTTAGAGAAAAACGAATTTTTCTGTGTATCAGGACTTTGTTTTTCAACTGAACTGATCGAAAATTGATCGTACTCAGTGAGATTAATTGCAGCATGAATTTTTCCACTAGGAATTCTTAGAATTCGACTCGATAAAACTACAAAAATTTTTCATTTATATGGCATTTTGAAAGTGGTATTTCAAAGCTAGATCAAAACTCGACAAATTTTGCATTTTAATATCAGGAAAGAAAATCCTCTTAAATGAATGCATCATTTTGTTTTCGTCTGAAACTGGTCAATAAATGGCAACTGTTAGACATTTACTACTGTCTTCAAAATGAAAAAGAAAAGTAACCTAAAATATGATTAAAAAAGTAACGTACGAGAATTGGTTTATTCCATCGAGTTGAACGTAATAATTGTTGTAAATCACTAATAATCTTATCATCTAATTTATTCTCTTTAATAAATGTTATTAGATTATCTATAAAAAATATATTAATTTTGCATAAATTAAAAAAAAAAGAAAATTTCAAATAAATATACCAATTTTAATTGTAAATAAGTGAAGATCTTCATGCATTGTATCATCTACAGTTTGTTTAGATTGTTCATCAAGTTTAACTAAAAGTGTTTCTTTTTCCTAAAACAAAACAAAAAAAAATTTATTTAATTTAATTTCAAAAAAAATCTACCAAAGCTGAATTATTTAATTCATCTTCTAATCTTAATAATTTATTTTTTAATAAACGAGTTTCATCTAATGCTGCATCTAATTGTTCACGTAAATTTCCTCCGCCATCAACACTAACACCACGTCTTGAACGATTAGAATCTTTTCCTCCATCATCATAGGAACAATTATTACTATTAGAATTTATTGTTCTCTCAACACTTCGACTGCGTTGTTTTAATATTTTATATTGTATACGTAATTGTGATAATTCATTATCACGATTAGTTACATCTTGTTTAAGTTGATTTATTTCATCATTAAGTATAGAAAATTTTTGTTGATATGAACTCATTAAATCTGATATATCATGTCCATTTATATTGGTCGAAGATTTTCTATTAAGATTTTTTTTATTTGTATTAGAATTTAACCATGTTAATTCTTCCATAAGTACATATTCCCGAAAAAGTGATTCATATAAATAAACGGATAATTGCCAGGAATGATAATCATCATTAGTTTCCTAAATTATATATTTAAAAAAAAAAGGAAACAAAATAAATAAAAAAAGAAAAATATATTTTACTGTTGATAATTTTAGATCAAATGATTCTTTAAGTGTATCTAAATGTTGTTTAAGTGTAGTGTTTAATTTTTCAGATATCATTCTTGTTTCTTCACTTTTTTCAAGTTCACTATGTAATCGAACACTAACTTCTTTTGCAATTAATAATTCTTCATCAAGATCACGAACTCGATAATTATCACGTGTTAATTGTTGGATTTTCTCTGTTAAATAAAATATATTTGTTAGAAAATCCGAATGAAAAAATGTTCAAGGCATTATTGTTTTTTTTTTATTCTCATGTCCTTCGTTTATAAAATCTTGAAAAAAAAAATTCTTCTTATTTCATTGTAGGTTTTCTTATTTTAAGTTGAATCTCCTACAAATAGTCTCACCTTCTAATGTTGCTTTTTCAGCTTCCATATTTTCATTTCGTTTTTCTGCCTTACGTAATTTGAATTGAAGAATACGACAATTTTTTGCTATAGAAAATAAAAGAATATATTACATACTTCTCAACAATTATAATTAAACAAACCAGCAATTTCAAGTTCTGCTTGTAGTTGTTTAAATTCTTCAGCATCTTCTGTACGAAATTGATCTGTAATTTCATCCATTTCCTAAGAAATAATAACAGATCATTATTCATTTGAAACTCTTTCCTTTTTGTGCTCGACATATTTCTCATGTATTTTATGTGACCTTATCGATCATGCCTGAGGGTCAATTGTCAAAAGAAACAAAGAAAAGAAAGATCATATGAGCATCTCTGTCAGCAGAACAAGGTCTAAAAATGATTATGATCAAGTACAACAAATTATTACAACATATGTATGCTATTAGAAGAGTTTGATCTTATAAACCATTTAGAAAGATATACAAATAAACTAAGCAAAAAAAAATATATACATACTCGTCGTATATCATGAAGTTCTTGTCGAAGAGCATCATTTTGTTGACGAAGTGCTTCACATACAGTGATTGGATCAGAAGTTGTAGCTATTGTATTTTCTAAACAGTTATACAAAGACAAAGTAAATTTCAAGGATAATTATTTAATGTATATATGGATATATAATCAATGAAACAAGAAGAATTTTGAGTACATATATTGATTTACTCTATTCGTTTGCTTGAAGAGTACTCTTCTAGTTGAAAGGTGTTGACGACCTGTTAGGTAATTTGACCGTTATTTTACAATAATGATAGGTATACCTTAGTGAGCGATAACGAGTTGAATAGCTGTCAACTTTATAGGTGTATGTATGTGTATATGTATGCGTACTTGTGTTCCTCTAACATCAGCCCAAGGTTTTTTATTCTATTACTTAAACCACCTATTGAGAGAAACATTATTATATGTAATAGTCAAAAAATCAGTATACAGCTGGTTTTCTCATTATCCTAGTTGACTGCTTCCATTATAAGAGAAGCACATTGTATAAAATGCATAAATTCTGTGCTTCTTAAAACGTATTTGTACAGTAGAATCTCAACATATAGATAAATATAAAGTAATAAACAATCAATATTTTGTCGTTGGTCTCTGTTATATATCAACAATTGAAACATTATTTTCATTTATATACATCGATGAGAGACAAGATTAATGATGAACAATAAATAGACGCGTATGTGTTAGATAAAGACTATCTGGTCAATAAGAAGAAAAGGTCAAAATCTGTGCGAGTTACGTGATCAATAAAAATAGAGACCAAGTAAGCAACATCATTGATTAATAAAATAGAAACTCTATTGGTTCTTTCAAAAAAAAAAAAAGTCAAATCAAGCATACATGCAAAAAAAATAAGCAAATAATGAATTGTGTATTTTAAGAAGTCTGATAACGTTATTGTATTTTATATTAACAAAAAAGAAAGAAAAAAGGGACCATCAGACACCTTTGATTTTAAAAGAAAGGAAAAAAGAAAGTAATGCTCACAGGTAATCGTTCCATTAATGAATGTCTAAAACTACAAAGCAGATTAACTTCCGTAGTTTTCGATCTATTGTCTTTCTTTTCTTTTCTTTTTCTCTTGAAAGACAAACAACTAATCAATTTCAATCCTGTCATTTATCATAGCCTATAATATTAAATTCAAAAATATAATTCGAAACGGTTCAATCGGCTTTCTATTAATATAACTGTCTATCACAATGAATGACACTTTCATTATATGTCTATTTCATTCACACCTCACCTTCATCATTATGATGTTGTTTGATTGTCATTTTGTTCTCATCGTCGTCGTCGCTAATAGTGATAACAATAGCGTCAGTTTTTTTATTACCATCTAATTCAGAAGTGGATGTAACAGGAGCTGTATTGCCCGTAGAATTTTGAATAATCGTAGACATTAATTGAATTTGTTAAAATGAATAAATGAATTTGGAGTCGAAATCAAACACGACGATATGATATCAACGATATCGAGAAACTAACTATCAGTAGTTCTCTCGCTAACATCATTATTAATAAAGACAAAACTGTTCAACACCGTGTTCGTCTCTTTCTTTTTTTCTCTCTTCTTCTTACTTTTTTTTTCTTTCTCTCTTTCTCTCTGTCTAGTAAATTGTATACCCCCCCAAAAAAAAAAACGACAATGCACAACTGCTATGAGAAAGAAGAAGAAGAAGAAGAAGAAGACGAAGAAAAGGAATAATTGTACAATACGTATAAACGCACACACATCAAATGGCTCGAGCAAAAAAATGCGAAGAGTTCTTTTCTTTCTCACTCTCCTGTCCGTCTTTCTCACTTTGGTGCCAGAATGTATATAAAGAAGAAAAAGACCATACTCGCGCGCGCCACTACCGTGTGTACAAAAGATAATCAAGTAATGAAGGCAAGAGAGAAGAGAAAAGAGAAAGAAAACGGAAAAATATGTTTCGCATACATCGAAGCATATCTATCATGGAAGTTATCAGACCTTTTTCTTCGTATTCTTTTCTTATGCTATTACCAATTACCATCGACTGCAGACGTGAGAAATGGTTCCAAGATGACGAGAGATATACACGTACATATCAATCCTCCCATTCAGGATAAAAATTGCGCTAACGATGATTATATCGTCGAGCCTATCAAAGCGGTCAAGGAGTGTTGTTACTGGTATGTTAGAATCAGATGTTATGTACGCGTTGGCGTGTTGATCAGTTGATATATCAATGAATTGTCTAATTCGGATATACACATTAGCAGCCTACGCAATTGTTTGTTCGGTTAATAATGGAGAAGATGTTCTGTTGATAAGAAAAATGACATAGAATTCTCAAGCAAATAAGGTCTAGGACAAATGATCGTTGCATTATTTGTAATAACTTATATCTTTGACATTTGACTTCAAATGAAAGTTGAGAACAAAAGAAAAAAAAAAAGTTATCGAAATAATTAAATTATTGGAAAGATTTCGAATTATTGATAAGTAATGTAAATTGAATTATCATACTCATTTAGATTTGTAATAATGTTTGTTTTATCAATTATTATTGTCATCATTTTCCTAAGATAGGATTTCTATTATGGAAGATTTGTTTTTTTTGTATTTTATACGATTATCACTATGAGAACAGTTTTTATATGATTGAATAATTTCTCATGTTCTAATGTAGAATTTTATTCAAATAAGAATATAGAAAATGTGAATAGACAAAAGAGATTTTGTTTTCTTAGTATTATCTGATAAATAATTAATGAATATAAATTTGTCATTGATACATGTATAATTAATTAGAATCTTATTTTAGATAAATAAAAAAAAGGTTTACGATTAAATATGTATGAATATTGGTTAGATCAGGTGTCGAATAGATAAGAAATTCGATCAGAGTGTCGAATAAAGTATACAAAAAGATTTGTTTGAATGTGTTTTAATAGAGTTTATTTTTTAATGTAAAGATCATTGTTACAATGTACTCGATAAATGTAATTTGTACTTGTCTATTCTTTATGAGTAAAATTTATAGAGATATTTGTAAATGTTAATAATAGCTTTGTCGAATAAAGAATAAATATATTTTAAGCAAGACAGCATTATTTTAAAAAAAAGGAAACCAATATATATGGTTTTCTTTTTTATTTGTCATTATCTTTTGCAATACATAGACGACATGGCGTGTGGGTTCATTGTCTATTATGCTACTGTTAAAATATAATATTTGACATGCTATTGTTATATTTAGATTGTAATTTTATAATGTATATTTATCAAAGACTATTATTGTCATGATAGGTAATGAAAAAAAAGATTATAAGAAGTTTATATTGTAAATTAAAGTATGTTGGATCATCGGTTTCTTTTGGCTCTCGTCAATTATTATTGACTTTATATTGTAAATTGAAAATAAGTTTCAAATTTAGAAAATGTGAATGTAAATATACTTAAAAGCTGAGATAGATTAAGCTATTTTCAAGCTATACAAGATTTTCAAAGCAGAATTGCTTTTTTTAATGCTAAGAAAATGAAGATAGAAACTTATTTTGATTGGATGTCGGGTTTTTAATAGTTTCTTCTAGTTAGAATAACAGCTTTTGAATCTATAGCGATGTAGAAAATAATTTTAAAAAAATTATCTATATTGGGATGTAATAAACACATTTTTATGACTTATTGTCAAGTTAGCGAATATGTTGTGATTATCTATTCTTCTATTTGTTTTAATAGAATCATATAATAGAACATAGAATGTGTATAAATGATTAGTTTGTTAAATATTTACTGATTAAATTCATAATATTTCAAATGTTTCAGAACTACTGAATTCTTCCAATGATCATTTGTGTTGTTTCGTAACATTACTGAATGAACAAGAACAAATGAGTAGAAAATTTAAAAAGGAAATAGAATGATCAAAGACAAAATAATAATGATACAAATAGATCAACGAAAGCATGTCAATAGCTATTCTTGGTATCAAATTATAATACACTTGAACGTTTGTTGAATATCTCTCGGATGAAACCAGCTAAAAATCTTCACTTTCTACCATTCAAAAAGAAAAAGAAATTTGGAGAAAGTAAAACTCATTTCAACTATTTCGGCTATGAATTGGTCAATTAGATCAGTTTTTACTATAGAGATTTTGACTAGAAATCTGTATTGCATTTGGAGTATTTGATTAATCTGAGTCAAACATTGATGTTTTTTTTTTATTTTTGAAGCAATTTGATGTCGGAAGGACAAGATTTTTGATCGAATAAATTGAAGCGCACAATTGATTGAGACCATTTTGTTTTTGAAACTTTCCAGTCAATATCTATATATTAAAAACTAATCAGTTTGACTGATTCGCAGTAGAGATATTTTAGCAGAGTTTTGCTGTCAGTACAGGTCTTTTTTTATGGTGGAAACCGCAAGTTTTTAGCTGGTTTTGTTCACAACATACTCAGAAAACATTAAAGTATATTTTATTTTGATGTCGATAAGTAGTAAACTATAGTTTATTAAAAAGGAAAATAGATATATAAACATATTCAACATATTTTTTTCTTTTAATTTTCTAGATCAGACTTATGTGCATATTATGATAATTCAATAATAGCGTTAAACATTGAAATAAAAGTGATACTTAAATGGTATTAATAAAACTACAACAAACAACAAGACGTTGAGCACAAGTGAATTTTTATAGTGAGTTCAACGAAATTTTGATGTAAAAAAAGAAGAGAATAGTTGAAGAGTCATGTTCGGTTAAACAAAATAAAAAATTGATAAAAGAAGCACGTTTTGTAACTCAAACAAATAGTGATCATTACAGTGCTATTATTCTCATATGATAAAAAAAGATAATGTTGATTATCGATTACTAAATAGGCCGGTCAAGTGTAGCATACTAATGGTGATGAATACAAAATTAGTACTAATGCTTTGTTACATTTTCTTGTTTATTTATTTGAAAACTACTTTCATTTGTGTACAATCATAATATTTTTTGGCATTTTTGCTTGCATTGCAATTACATAACTAAATCTGAAATTTATTCTTTCTTTTCATTCAACTGACATTTGATTTAAAAAAAGATATAAATGGGCATGTATATACATACATGCAGGTATTGTATGTTTGCTTTAGTATAGATTTAATCGGTAAGAAATAATGCGCCATTAAAACAATCGCGCTGAAAAAAAATCTAATAAGAAGGAACTTCTACTTTGAAAAGAAAGAATTTACAAAAAATTTAGAACTCTTCTTAGAGCAAGGGTTATATAGATTCTTGCTCAGACTGATGTTTATTTCTATGAGTGATTTAAAATAACATAAACTTATGTAAAATATACTTCATTCATACTCGATAGGCAACTAATCGATCAAAAGTATTGTGAAGACTGCCTGAAAAAAATTATTTAAAGAAGAAAATATCAACAGGTAAATAGTACGATCGATAATACAGTGCTGCAGGCAATGAGCAGCAGTTATAGTCCTATCAAGATTAGCCGCCTTGTCCAGAGCTAAACTTAAAAAATTTGTTAGAAGAAAAAATAAATGTTTTCTTGAACCAATAATAGTCAGTATTTATTTTGTGTATTACAACTTGCTGTAAAATAAGTCCTATATGTAGTTATTTTAGTAGATAAAGATGAAATCGACGTCAGTAGAGACGATGACAAGATTTAAGAGTCTATCGTTGTTCTAGTAAATGTAACATCGTTGTGATAGTACCTAGTATACATTCTATCCTCGTCGTAGTTATCCAATACAACATTGATATATTCAGATATCAAACCTATAGAGGATGTTGATGAAATCCCTATCGAAGTCATTGCTTCTGTTTGTACTATGTTCAGTGCGTATGTGTTGATATTGTAATTGCATAAAAGATTTTAAATACAAGTACAGTCTGTAACTATTCTATTAATGTTCGGAAAATGAGTATAAAAAAATAAGTCTTTTTTCTTTTCCAAGAGATTTACCGCATTCGTGTATACTATCGGATATCAATAATAATCATACATAATACACTTGGGTTTTTCACATTATCTTGATACAGCTTAATGTCAATAAATTAATGTTCTAAACATGTAAGAGGTATACTTGATGTCTGAATGCACTCAACAAGCGTTGCTAGTTTAGATAGAGATCTGAACAATGATGTAACATTGGCATTTTTTTTAATCGAATCTGCACATGTTATGGAATTTAGGTTACAATTATTTTTAGCATGCATGCATAATATCATAGTATCAACGGTTTCATATGGCGTCAGATTACATGTTTCCATGCCTATATTAGTAATGCCTTCAAAATCTATACAACTACGCATTTTTGTACACAATATTCTCTATACAGTTGAGACTTTCGATCGAATTGACAATAGGTAGTACTGCTTAAAGAAAAATAGAATGAGTATTTTGTGAAATAAAAACCAATATTATAAAAGCAATAAAATATAAAGGAATCACGTTAATATAACCGAACTACTGTTTGCATAATGATATGTGAAAATACTTGATAATTAAAATTCAATCGATTACAGCAAAAAAAAACTTGAAGGCTGTAACTAATTATGTAAAAATATATGAAAGTAATGAGTGATATACATGTTCCGTTGATTGGAAATGATTACTCCACATGAAACGATATATTTAATTTTTTTTCGATTTTTTTTTCTGAAGGGCCAGACCAAAAAAAATTTTTTTTTTGACAATCAATGAAACGAAACTCTCCTACATGATTCACTTTTTTCTGACTTTACGGGTTTAAAATATTTGTTCAATTGGTGAAACTCTATGGAAAGCCTGTTGAACTAAGATTAGTTTCTAAAATATATACGATTGATATTCAAGTTTTTATATCTCATAACAACATACATCAGAATTATCTGGTCAATATTTTCCAAGGTGATACGATCAAATATTTACTTTTATATGTGTTTTCTGCATATAGTCTTGTGTGTTGGCCTATTGCTCCTAGCAATCTTATTTTGAATATTCATACGTAACTTTATTTCCATTATAAGTTGCTTCTATTTCATGTTTATTTGCAAATGAATAATAATGGAGACGATCGATGAAAATCAAATTCATTGAAAAAATCTTAAGTATATACTTGTGAGCATGTCTTCTATGCATCACATGAACAAAAGTATGCACTTCAGATGAAATTCACATATATTAAAAGGTCTATGGACATATCACAATTTATTTTATTTTTGTTTATCGATGAATAAATGAAATGAAAATATTCTTTAATCTTTCGTTTATTAGAGAAACCTTAATTAATAAGAATTTACATATAATACTTTCACTAATGATTTAAAATATTATAAATTATTGTTCATTGTGACAAGTATGACTGAAAAAAAGAACGTATCGAATTAATACTATCGTTGTTCTACGAATATTTTTACTTTCTCCGTTCTATTTCTTATGTGAATATATTAGTTGACAAAGACTGAGAATCCTTCTATGAAAAACAAAATCATTGACGATCAACCTCACAATGCAATATATTTATTATCGAAGCAGCAATTGCGATTAATAACTTTACAAACAAAAAAAAAGGAGGGATCTATCTTCGATAGTTAAAGCCAGAAAAATACAAGAAATATTAATTTAACGAGTTGGTCTTTGATTTTTTGTAAAATTAGTAGCGTCAATATCCATTCCCATATAATCATCACGCATATATGTATAAGGTTCTCTGGAAAAAAAAAAGAAAAAGATCAATTAAATAAACATAGCATTTTTATACATAAATTAAATCTCACATGATCACGGTTAGTATGTTATTCATAAAGACCACGTCTTTGTGTGGTTGTATTATTAGTTCCTGAACGATTAGTATTTCGATTATTAGTATTAGTCGATTCAGGTTTGTGAAAAGGTTTACTATATGAATTACACACATATTATTTTTGTTATTCATTTTTTCTTCTTACCTATCAATATCCATATCACCACCACTATTTATTGAATTCCAATGATTCATATCTGGTGATTCTCGACCATCTAATGGAAATTCATCTAATAGATTTCAAATAGTAAAATAATTTTAGAAAGAAAGTAAAAGAAAGATCTACCTCCATCATTATAACCAAATTGATCTAGATAATCATCTTGATCTCCAAATGCCATTGAATCAAAACCATAAGGTCCTGTATTACTTATTGGTGTTGGTTCATCATCTTCATATGAAATTTGTTGTCCTTCAATTGTTTCAAGCCATGTTTGATTATGATTACGAAAACGAGCAAGTTTAATACGACTTGCCCAATCTGGATCACATTCCTAATTATAAACAAATCAGTGTTTATTTATTTATAAATAATCATATAATACATACACTTATTATTTCAAGTGTCATATCACAAACACGTCGTACTTCCTTATTTTTATCTTGCATAAGATCAATTAAATAAGCCGGTGCCTCTATTTAGTATTTAAACAAAATAATAAATTAAAACAAAAACAACAACAACAACAACAAAAATTCTCTACCTGTTTTTTTAATAATTACATTTCGAGTTGATTTATGAAAACAAAGTTGATAGAATACATAGCATATTTGTAAAACAATTTCATCATCTTCTTGTTGGGCTATAAGTAAATAAAATTTTCTTTTTCTTCTTATTTAAATTATATTGACTAATTTCAATAGCGATAGAGAAGTATAAGATCACAGTATAATCTTTTCTTTTTTTTTCTTTTAAAATCTTACCTATTCTCCTATTAGTTCTTCTTCGAAATGCTTTTTTTTATAATGAAAAAAAGAAAAAAACAAATGAAAATTTCTTTCTCAAAATATTGAAATCTATTTTTAATAAACAAATATAAAAACATATTTACCATGTAAAAGTTCAATAAGAATTTGAATAATATCACTTTTCGCAAGTACTTCAGCACATGCATCATCAGCACAAAGTGTACCAACAAGTACAACAACATTTAATGTTAATTCAACATCAGCTGAATTTGGTTTTAATTTTGATTTAATCCATTCAACAAGACCATATTCATCCATTAAAGCTTGATAATCAATATCAGGTATTGTTAAATTAGCTAATGTGCCAACAACTTCCGTAAGAAATGCTTCATCTTTTTCTGTAACTAATGTTTCACCTAATGGACCAACATATGACTACGAAAAGAAAAAGAGAAAAACTATTTGAATTCAAAAATAAAAAAAAAAATTTTTTTTTCTTACAATAAATTGATTTTTAATATCAGGTGAAGTATGTGAGGAAATATTTCTTATCATTTTCATAATTAATGAATCTTTATATTTATAAGCTCTTTTCATGAGTAATTTAAGACCTTTTCCATGTTTATATTCACATAATTGTTCAGCACAACCAGGATTCAATGCTAAATTTATTGCTAATGCAATAACTTCTGGTTCAAGATGTTCTTCTTTACAATCAATAATCATTTTCATTAACTAAAATAATATTTATTTTAATGTCAAAAGTAATCGTAATGACAGCCCCCCGCCCCCCCCCCCCCCCCCCCCGCCCCGCGGCCCGAGCCGGTTTGTATAAAAAATAGACAGAATACATAGACTGACATACATATGAATTTTCAAAGAATAAATATAAT